GGAAGGGTGTACACCAGGGGGCCCACTGACACTGAGTTAAGTGCATCCTACAGCTACAAGCAGGGTTTGAAAGGCCAACTGAGATCTCATTGCAAAGCTAGCCATCAACTCAGAGATATAAATCTTTCAAATTGTGGAACCCCGAGGACAAAGTGCTTTTCTATAAAAGGGGTCTGTAACAGACATCTAGTATCTTGCCAGTCCAGCAACCCCTGGCTCCATTTTGAGAAACTGTCCTTTCTCTAAGGAACACCCAGTCCCCAACCCCATCCACATGATGACACCATCTTAATAAACTACAACCCTGTCCTTGGCTCTGTTGGCAGGCTCAGGCTGGCCAGGCTGGCAGACTGGCATTCACCACAGAATTTACAAACTGGAACTAAGAAGTCTGGCCAAGACCGAGTGTGCACACTGTTGGCAGCAGGTTCCAGAAGAGAGGAAAAGAGCAAAACAGTGGGGGCAGGGAGACTTCACTGTCCTGGGTTCCTCATCAGCCCTCATTCAAGTTTGTCTCTGTACTCAAAGTTATCAAAAAGTTCATGGAAAAAGCATATTATAAAAACACTATGGGGGCTGACGCTGTGGTGTAGCAGGTAAAGCCTGCAGTGCCAGCATCACATATGGGCGAGTCTCAGCTGCTCCACTTCTGATCCAGCTCTCTGCTATGGCCTAGGAAAGCAGTAGAAGATGGCCTAAGTCCTTGGGTTCCTGCACCCATGTGGGAGACCCAGAAGAGGCTCCTGGATACCAGCTTCGAATCGGCACCATTGCAGCCATCTGGGTAGTGAACTGGATGGAAGACCTCTCTCTCTCTCTCTCTACCTTTGCCTCTCTGTAGCTCTGCCTTTCAAATAGAGGGAAAAAAAAAAAAAAAAAAAAAAAAAAAAAACACTATGCATGGATTCCAGACGTTTTGGGACCAGAAGAGACCTATCATTCCATTATTCCCTAACTTTGTGAAATACCCTTGTATATATCCAGCCCTGGCAAAAGCTAGTTCAGACTGAGTTTCATTACTAATATGGAATATTTGCTCATGAAAAAATGAGAAATAAGCTAAGACCAATAAGGGGGAAAAAAGCAAAAAAGGTGTTTTCACTAAAAATAATAATAAGCTGAAACAAATCACATTGCATCAAGGATGCCTTTATATACCAGGTGTTTATAAGCTCTTCAACTCCTAGATATTTCCTGTTGATCCTTGTATCTGCCACTGTACTTTCTTATTTACATACACCCAGTAAACGTGTTGAATGGGATTGAAAAATATTCTCTGATGTAAGAATATTAATTTTTTTAAAAAGGTAAGGACATTTTTGGTCTGTAGAGCAATAACCATCTGTGTGACCCTCAAAGCTTTCCAAAAGGGAAGACGATGGGGATTCCGAGTTGTACAGAATTTCTCAGACTAGGGGTTCCTAGAGTAGGAAGTGTTGAAACTTGGGAGTTGAAGCCACAACTCTCAGAGCAGAACATAGGACATGGTTGTCCACACAGGCTCTCCCCTCTCAGCCAGGACACCAGCTTCCCCTAGGCTCTACCCCAGCATCCTGACTGTGTCTCCTCCCTTGGAGATTGCATTTCCTCTCAGCTGCAACCACTCTCCAGCCCCTAGCGCCACAGTCTACAATGCTTAACTTACTCTTCCCCCGGAACCAGCCATTCTTCCTTGTTCCCCCAGGGCTGCAACTTTCCCAAAGATTGACGATCAGCTTCAAAACATTACTTACGAGGGTACCGCAAAAAGTCTGCATAAAATGGAATTAAAAGTTTACTTTGGTGCAGAAAAATTTTGAAATGGGGCAGGCATTTGGCCTAGCTGTTAAAAGGCAAGTTCAAATGCCCACATCCACATCAGAGTCCTGGTCCAAGTTCTGGCTCCACTCCCAGTTCTAACTTCCTGTTCATGTGCACCCTGGAAGGCAGCAGTGATGGCTCAAGTGGTTGGGTCGCTGAGGCCCCTTTGGGAGACCAGGATTGAGTTCCCAGCTTCTTCCGGCCACTGCAGGCATTTGGGGAGTGAACTAGTAAATGGAAGCCCTCTCTCTTGAATAAATAAAGATTTTAAGATAAAGTATAAACAACTTAAAAAAATCTTTTTGAAATCCATGTGGTTTTTAAGATAACATTTTCTATCAATTTTGTGTGAAGACCTCTCATATACATAGATTTCAAAATCTTTTGCACAAAAATATGCTCATCTTTAATTCCATTTTCCATGAAATTTTTGAAGTATCCTCTTACACTGACAGGAAAATGTCTGCAATGTTCTCCAAAAGCAAACCAGAACATGGAATATGACCTGTGTGTTGAAGGGGGGATGTGTGCCCTGGCAGTATGGGGCAATGGTCAAACAGCTTTGGAGCCAGACAGACCTAGTAAGATCTATGACCTTGTAAGAGTTAATGAGGCATCTCATTTTTTAAAAATATAAAATGGACTCTGAGTATCAGTCTCATAGGACATTTAAAAGGATTAAATACAATAATGTATGGAGATCATTTGCATTTTTCCTACATAAGGAATATCCCAAAATATTAACAGTGAAGCTCTTTAGGTGCTAGGACTGTAAATAATTTTTAATTGTTTTACTTTCCATAAAAAAGCTGAAGTCCCCTTTGATTCCTTTTCCATCATTTTCCCCCCACCCTAATGTCTAGTCATCAATTCCTGCAGCTTCTGCCTCAGAAAAGTGATTTTTGGGGGCCAGTGCGGTGGAGTAGAAAGCTAAGCCTCTGCCTGTGGCACCCCAAATGCCAGCTGCTCCACTTCCGATCCAGCTCCCTGCTAATACACCTGGGAAAGCAGTGGAAGATGGCCCGAGTGCTTGAACCCCTGCACCCATGTGGGAGATGCAGATGAAGCTCCTGGCTCCTGGCTTCAGCCTGGCCCAGCCCTGGCTGTGGTGGTTATTTGGGGAATGAACTAGCAGATGAAGATTCTCTCTCTCTCCCCACCCCCCTTCCTCTCCCTCCCTCTCCCCCTCTCCCTCTCCTTCTCTGTAACTCTGACTTTCAAATAAATAATAAGTTGGTCCTCTTTCTGGGCTTGCATGGGACTTTTGTTTTAAAAGGCATTTATACATTCTGCCATGACATCTAATTATGTCCCTTGTCACAAATCTGACCTCCAACCTTCAAATTAAAGAGAGCAACACAACTACTCTGTAGATAATTCTGGAATGAACTCCCAGTTCTTATCTCACAAGGCCTCCCTACGGGGAGCTTCAGTTTGGGCTGCCCATTGAGACTCCCAGGATCCCATGTTAGCAAATCGATTTAAAAAGCCAGAAGACCAGAGCACTTTTACAAACCTTGTGACATTTTTTTACAGGGACTTGTCAAGACCTGTACTCATATCTTACCTTTATCTCAGCTAAAGATCAGGTCTCCTAAAGATGGCTGTTTATTTTCCTTGAGCTTCAAATAGGCCCTGGCAGCGCTCTGGTCCCAGGCATGATTATAAAGTTGCGGCTGTACTTCAGTCACACCAGGAGGGACCTGGAAAAATACTTTAGGGAATGGATGATGACTCCCTGAGTTGTTTATAAAACCAGAGCCTCACAGGAGTGGCCTTGAGGTTTTCCTGCCTCTGGCTCATGGAGGGCATTTCAATAATTAGGGATGGGCCTTCCTCCCTCACCCCCATGTTTATGCTGTGTCTGAGTTCAGACAGTACACACACTGCATGCAGCTTTACTGAATTAAAATTCAGTTCGCCAGCAACACCATGCTCCTGTCAACTAATGATTATTAAGAAACAAACATGGCTGGCTTGGAATTTAAGGGCTTCTGTAAGAAGCTTAGAAAATCTTTCCAGAGACCAATGGAAATCACTTCAATGCCAGCTACAGCATGGGAAGACAACAGCTAATTGATTATACAGTCTTAAAGCTGCTTTCTGGACTCAATATCAGCCTTAGTTTTCAGAACAGACATGCTCCTGAAAAGTATGCATAAATTGAATTTTTCTAAATAAGATTTTTAAATGCACTAGTAACAAATTTTCTGGCAAATTTATTCTTCGGAGGGAAGCAACTTCCTGTATTAGATTTCCTAACATGTACCTGCCTAAGAGAGGGAGAGAATCTGGACTTGGTGAAAGTGGACAGCTGTTAGACAGGGTGGGTGGGGTGATCAGGACACCAGCAAGAAAGGAAAAAGTATTTCCGTCCCCCTCTGGCTCAGCCTGAGCCTGTGAGGGAAGGCTGGGGGGAGGCTCGCCATTGCCCAAACCCCTGCCCCAACCCTGCTTTTGGCTCAGCCGAGCATCCTGGTCCCCAGATTCCTACTGTACTTTCCAAGGACTGCGAAAAACCGAGCCCCATTGTTTGGCGCCCTTACACAACCCCAAGAACCCACGTGGACTTCACCCAGACACGCAGGCCAACTACCTCCCATTTTTCTCAAGCGGGTTTGGAGAATCAGCTTTACCAGGTCGAGAAGGGTCAGGGGCACTCTGGCGCACGGCGCGTGCGGTCGCTCGCACAGCCATCTGTGGGCCGGGACCGTCCCCGGGGAATCGGATTTGGACGCGGGCCGGGCTGCTCGAATCTGCTGTCTACACTCGTGGCGGACAAAACACAGTCCTCTTTAGGGCACGAAAACATAACCGCGCACAGTCCCCAGCCTCTCCGGGGGCAGGGACGCCCTTCCCTCACCGGGGAGCTCGGTTGCACGCGGGAGAGGGAGCACAAAGCCGCCGCCGCCGCTCCGCCCCGAGGCCGAGCGCGAACCCCGCACCGCGCCTCCTGCCGCCCGGGTTTTCACGCCAGCTGGAACAGGACTAGGGGCGCTGGGTGTCCGGAAGCTGTCCTCTCAGAGTGAGGGTACAAGGAGGGCAAGTAAAAGGCGGGTTAACTTAAGAGACGGCGCGAGGGGCCAAGGGCCAAGGGGCCAGAAAGGGGTGGGTGGCCGGGCGCGGGGACTTCCGGAGCAGAGCGCGGCTGCGGGCGAACTTTGCCGGGACGGCGAGCCCGGCCCGCGGAGCCTCCTTACCATCTCCTTGCGGAGCAGCGCCAGCGCCGCGTCCAGGTTGGGGGGCTTGGTGGGCAGCGCAGATGCCCGGCCCCCGCCGCCGCCCGCGCCCCCGCGGCTCAGCTCGTCCTGGATGCGCGACTTCTGGGCGTACAGCCGCTCCAGGTGGCGCCAGCCCCCCGACGCGCCGCCGCCCGACGCCGAGTGCAGCAGCCCGCTCAGGCTCTTGGGCAGCGGGGGCAGCCCATCCACCCGCAGCCCCCTGCCTGCGCCCGCCGACCCCGGCGCCGCGCCAGCCCCGCTCATCGCGCCACGGCCAGGCCACGCGCCAGCTAGCCAGCCCGCGGCCGCCCGGACCCAGGACTCCCCCAGGCCGCCCCCTTCCCGGAGGCGCCCCGCCCACTTCCCCTCCCCGCGGCCCCGCCCCCTCCCCTGCTCCTCCCACGCACCCTGCATCCCCGCGCGGCTGCCCGGCTCGCCTCCGGCCGCGCCCCCAGCCCCTTGGGCCCCAACCCCGGCGCCCCGAGTTCCCTCCGGTCCCGGCCGCAGCCCCTCGGTGCCACTCAGCGGCTCTGTCCCCTCCACCTCGGAGGCACTCCCTTGGTTCCCCAGCTCACGTCCCGCCCGTCTCCGCACTCCTCTTTCACCTGTCGGCGCTCCTAAGGTGGCCGAACCCTGGTCCCGCTCCACTTCCGGCGAGGCAAGACCTGGAGCCAGTCCCCATCGCTGTCAGATCCGACTCAGAGGCCGGCTGGTGTAGGCAGTAGGGGGTGGGCAGGACGTAGGGGCAGGAGTCCAGGGTGGGCCGCAGACCTCCTCCTGCCACATCGAACTCGCTGCAAGGCAGGGCTGGGGACCCGGGACGCGGCCAGGTCGCCCCTTCACTCTGAGGCTCCCTGGCCTCCGTGAGTGGCAGAGTCCAGCCGAACCCGCAGAGACCCAGAAGAGCGCCAGGCCCCGCTTTTGGACTTCAGGACATGAACAAGCGTGTCTTACAGCCTGTTCTTGAACGCAAGAGCAGTTCTCGTGTGCAGTGTCCAGAAATTAGAGAAAGAGATTAAACCTGACAGTTACGCCCCAGATTAGAGACAGAAAAGGTAAGCAAGCGAAAGTGACAGCCTGACCGCAGGTGGAAAGCCCGTGCGTGCGGTGACCACCTATCCAGTGGGCTGCTTTGATGCCCCACCCCCATGACTGGTTTTGACTATAAAGGGATCTGGGTCTTCTAAATCTATTCAGTAGAAACAGGGCGTTCTGAGCGCTTCAGACACCAACATGAAAGCTTGCACTCTTGCAGACCCTCTCTCTTTAATCTGCCACCCTGTTGAGCCGCCCCAGAAGCAGTGGCTCTGAAATTGGCTCCATGTCCCTGTGGTGAGGCAAGCAGTGTGATCTGAGGTCACCAGGAGGCCTCCCACCCCACCCACTGCCCTAGAAATGTTCCACCTCCACCCTGTGCCTTACCTTCCACTGCTTACCCAGTCACATTTCCAGTTGTCAGGTATTCATTCATTCGCCTATTTAAGCACTGGTGCCTGCAGGAGTTACCAGTTTGCCTGTGTCAGTGTCAGGGAGAGAAGGGGCGGGAAGCATTTTGCCCTCTGATTCACGCCCTGGCACAAATTCCTTCCATTTCATTTGTCACCTTGCTGCCTTTCCTACAGTACCTAACAGAAATCCCTCAAATCAGGTGATAGGAGACTCAGTTCTGTGATGACACAATAAGGAAATCCTTTCAAAGCACTGAACACTGAAATCATTTTTAAATCCGTGTTTCAGAAAATGTAAGCAGAAAGAGAGCTAGGGCCAGCTACATGGCCATGTGAGGTCCCTGGAGTCAGGACATAAGAAAGGCATGGGGCTCAGCATTATGGCACTGTGGGTTAAGCCACCCCCTGCAATGCTGGCATCCCATTTGAGTGCCAGTTTTGATTCCAACATTTCTGATCCAGCTCCCTGCTAATACACCTGGGAGAGTAGTAGAGGGTGGCCCAGGTGCTTGGGCCCCTGCCACACATGTGGGAAGCCCAGATGGAGTTCCAGGCTCCTGGCTTTGTCCTGGCCTGGCCCTAGCATTTGGGGAGTGAACTAAGTGAATGGAAGATCTCTCTCTCTCTCTCTCCTCTCCCTCTCTCTATGACTCTGCCTTTTTTTTTTTTTTTTTACAGGCAGAGTGGACAGAGAGAGAGACAGAGAGAAAGGTCTTCCTTTTGCCTTGGTTCACCCTCCAATGGCCGCCGCGGCCGGCGCACCACACTGATCCAAAGCCAGGAGCCAGGTGATTCTTCTGGTCTCCCATGGGGTGCAGGGCCCAAGCACTTGGGCCATCCTCCACTGCACTCCCTGGCCACAGCAGAGAGCTGGCCTGGAAGAGGAGCAACCGGGACAGAATCCGGCGCCCCGACCGGGTCTAGAACCCGTTGTGCCGGCACCGCAGGCGGAGGATTAGCCTATTGAGCCACGGCACCGGCCGACTCTGCTTTTCAATTAAATGAATACATCTCTTTAAAAAAAAAAATAGAAGAGAGACAGTTTAGACAATGCCAAGCTCACAAATTAAAAGGTAGTCTTTACAATCTGGTACATGTTCACTGAGGTGAATATACTGAAATGAATGATGGAACTTTCTACAGAATTTCTGTGATAATGGCAAAAACTTAATTTCTATAAATCTGAAACTATTATGCAATAGACCAACAACTGTTTTGACATTCTTGAAGAGTGTCAGTCTGCCTGCTTATTCAAATGTAAATAAATATAAGGTATTTATATATTTATTTGAAAGGCAGAGTGACATGCAAAGAGAAAGAGATCTTCCATCCACTGATTCACTCTCCAGATGGCTGCAACAACCCATTTTGGGCCCGGGGGGAAGCCAGGAGCCAGGAACTCCATGCCAGTGTCCCACACTCATGGGTGGCAGGAAGTCAGGTATTTGATGTAATGCACCTGTGAAGGCAGCAGAAGATGGCCCAAGTACTTGGGCCCCTGACACCCATGTGGGTGATCCAGATGGAGTTTCTGGCTTCTGGCTTTGACCTAGCCCGTACCTGACTGTTGCAGCCATTTGGAAAGTGAACCAGTGGAGGGAAGATCTCTCTGTGTCTCCCTCTCTCCGTCAGTCTGCCTTTCAAGTAAATAAAATAAATCTTTTTTAAAAATTACAGTCCATTGGGCCGGCGCCGTGGCTCAATAGGCTAATCCTCCACCTTGCGGCGCCGGCACACCGGGTTCTAGTCCCGGTCGGGGCACCGGATTCTGTCCCGGTTGCCCCTCTTCCAGGCCAGCTCTCTGCTGTGGCCAGGGAGTGCAGTGGAGGATGGCCCAAGTGCTTGGGCCCTGCACCCCATGGGAGACCAGGAAAAGCACCTGGATCCTGGCTCCTGCCATCAGATCAGCGCGGTGTGCCGGCTGCAGCGGCGGCCATTGGAGGGTGAACCAACGGCAAAGGAAGACCTTTCTCTCTCTGTCTCTCTCTCTCACTGTCCACTCTGCCTGTCAAAAAAAAAAAAAAAAAATTACAGTCCACTGGGAAAGGAAGCAATGTAATGAGGGAGAAACCCTGTGGCAGTCCCAGCAGGGAAAGAGTCACTGCAGGGTTCAGTAAAGGCATAGCAGAAAAGGGGTCACTTAAATTGTGCTAGCAGTGTGACACTTCGAACATGAAGACAGATGGTAGAGGGTGGGAAGAAGCCGGGTCAGTTGGGAGGTGAATTGAAACAGTGGCTTTGACCTAAGATTCGGGGAGGGTTTCAAATTCCATCTAAGAAGTTCGGGTGGTTTTTCTTGGGCAACAGGAAGCTGTTGAACACTTGGAGTTTAGAAAGATCACGGTAGCAGGTGCATGTTGAATAGTTTGGGGTGGGCACAGACTTTCCAGGCTGATGAATAAGTAAAAGGCTGTTGCATCTTTGAACTGAGAAGAATTAAGGCCCAAATTCCGTGGTGGAATGTGAGGGATAGGAGATACAAACAACCAGCACTTGGTACTTCATAAAGCACTTTCTTATCAAGCTTTCAGCATTCAAGCTGCATAACCACTAGGAGGTATTACTCAGAGTTCCATGGGACAGTGAGGAATAAGGAGCACTTAAAAGGTAGTTGTTTGCCCGGGTTTGTTCAAATAATAAGGTCCTTGCCACAGGTCATTGTCTTCTCGATGGAGAGTTGCCAGAGGGGAATCCAGGTAACTATTGGGTTGTGTAAAGACTGAACCAGAAACACTTGAATTAGGAGAGATCACAGGCATGCACTGGGTGCAGCATTTAAGAAGCTGCACATCCCATGCCTGAGTGCCGAGTTTTCAGTTCTCATTCAGCCCCTCCACTTCTGATACAGCTTCCCACTATAGTGCACTGGGAGGCAGCAGGTGATGGCTCAAGTACTTGGGTCCTTTCCACCCACAGGAGAGATCCCTTGTAGGCATTTGGGGAGTGAACCAGGGATATCCCTCTCTTTCTCTCCCTCCCCACCCCCCTTTCAAATAAAATGAAAATAGGAAATAAACAAACTTTCATTCATTAGCCTTTTGGTTTGAAAGAAAAAAATGCCACAGGGAGTGCAGAAACCTAGGAAACGTCTGGGGAGGACCCGCCATCCTGGATTTTTCAAGTGCAAGATGAGGACCTGGTGAGGAGGCTTAACCAGACAATAGCCTGCCCTTGGGGAGGACAGAGAAATGACTAGAAGGGTTCTCAGCAGTAATCAAATCTAATGGATGAGGAGATGGCAGAGTGAGGTAGAGAATTAAACTAGTACATGTCAGAAATCAAGGCAAGAGGATCAGAAATAAATGGGCATGGGAAAAAATGTAAAGAGCAGAAAACAGTGCTTCTGCTAATATCATTCCCTCATTCACTCCCTCCCTTTTTCCCTTTGCCTCTCCCCGTCTCCCTTCCTTCCACTTTAACCTGCTTTGGGCCAGGTAATAAACCAGGCTTGAAGATACAAATAAATTACTCTACATAAATGCATTACTCTAGACAAATAAATTGCTTCACAGCGAATGCCATACTTTAAGGAGCAGTCACTGTTTTTTTCACTGAGGCACCAGCCTGTCATTACATGGCTGAAATGATTGCGTGGGTCACACTTGGCGAGATCTGCCACTAGTTTCAGGTCTTTCTTATTCTTGGGAAGGATTTTCCTCCATGGTAGCTTCCAAGTTAAACAGCATTTTGATATGCGTTCCTCTCCGCGAAGGTTCATACTTCTGCTCAGGTAATAGGACCATGGTTAAGCCCTGTTCCCTGGGGGCATTGGAATGGCTGTTTCCCCTCCCTTGGAAATAGCCAGCACATTCCTCTGATTTGTCCCTCTTAGGGGTTGACCATTCCTGTGTCTGACCATGGGTCTTCTGTCACCACCTGGTTTTGAATTA